ATCTCCGCTTCTACTGGGAATTGAGAGTCGAAATTTATGGTGGGAATAGGGTTGATACAGGACTATATTGAGGCAAAAGCGCGTTCCTGTATCTTGAGCCGTTTAGGAGATATCGAAGGTTACATTTTTAAATTTTAAGTTAATTTTAATTGAAATTTGAATTTAAATGTTCATATCTCCGCTTCTACTGGGAATTGAGAGTCGATATTTATGGTGAGAATAGGGTTGATACAGGACTATATTGAGGCAAAAGCGCGTTCCTGTATCTTGAGCCGTTTAGGAGATACCGAAGGTTACATTTTTAAATTTTAAGTTAATTTTAATTGAAATTTGAATTTAAATGTTCATATCTCCGCTTCTACTGGGAATTGAGAGTCGATATTTATGGTGAGAATAAGGTTGATACAGGACTATATTGAGGCAAAAGCGCGTTCCTGTATCTTGAGCCATTTAGGAGATACCGAAGGTTACATTTTTAAATTTTAAGTTAATTTTAATTGAAATTTGAATTTAAATGTTCATATCTCCGCTTCTACTGGGAATTGAGAGTCGAAATTTATGGTGGAATAGGGTTTGACTAGTGGGAACGTTATACTTGAGGCAAAAGGCGTTCCCTGTATNTATTTGAATTTAAAATGTTCATATCTCCGCTTTCTACTGGGAATTGAGAGTCGAGATTTATGGTGAGAATAGGGTTGATACAGGAATATATTGAGGCAAAAGCGCGTTCCTGTATCTTGAGCCGTTTAGGAGATACCGAAGGTTACATTTTTAAATTTTAAGTTAATTTTAATTGAAATTTGAATTTAAATGTTCATATCTCCGCTTCTACTGGGAATTGAGAGTCGAGATTTATGGTGAGAATAGGGTTGATACAGGACTATATTGAGGCAAAAACGCGTTCCTGTATCTTGAGCCGTTTAGGAGATACCGAAGGTTACATTTTTAAATTTTAAGTTAATTTTAATTGAAATTTGAATTTAAATGTTCATATCTCCGCTTCTACTGGGAATTGGGAGTCGAGATTTATGGTGAGAATAGGGTTGATACAGGACTATATTGAGGCAAAAGCGCGTTCCTGTATCTTGAGCCGTTTAGGAGATACCGAAGGTTACATTTTTAAATTTTAAGTTAATTTTAATTGGAATTTGAATTTAAATGTTCATATCTCCGCTTCTACTGGGAATTGAGAGTCGAGATTTATGGTGAGAATAGGGTTGATACAGGACTATATTGAGGCAAAAGCGGGTTCCTGTATCTTGAGCCGTTTAGGAGATACCGAAGGTTACATTTTTTAATTTTAAGTTAATTTTAATTGAAATTTGAATTTAAATGTTCACATCTCCGCTTCTACTGGGAATTGAGAGTCGAGATTTAAGGTGAGAATAGGGTTGATACAGGACTATATTGAGGCAAAAGCGCGTTCCTGTATCTTGAGCCGTTTAGGAGATACCGAAGGTTACATTTTTAAATTTTAAGTTAATTTTAATTGAAATTTGAATTTAAATGTTCATATCTCCGCTTCTACTGGGAATTGAGAGTCGAGATTTATGGTGAGAATAGGGTTGATACAGGACTATATTGAGGCAAAAGCGCGTTTCTGTATCTTGAGCCGTTTAGGAGATACCGAAGGTTACATTTTTAATTTTAAATTAATTTTAATTGAAATTTGAATTTAAATGTTCATATCTCCGCTTCTACTGGGAATTGAGAGTCGAGATTTATGGTGAGAATAGGGTTGATACAGGACTATATTGAGGCAAAAGCGCGTTCCTGTATCTTGAGCCGTTTAGGAGATACCGTAGGTTACATTTTTAAATTTTAAGTTAATTTTAATTGAAATTTGAATTTAAATGTTCATATCTCCGCTTCTACTGGGAATTGAGAGTCGAGATTTATGGTGAGAATAGAGTTGATACAGGACTATATTGAGGCAAAAGCGCGTTCCTGTATCTTGAGCCGTTTAGGAGATACCGAAGGTTACATTTTTAAATTTTAAGTTAATTTTAATTGAAATTTGAATTTAAATGTTCATATCTCCGCTTCTACTGGGAATTGAGAGTCGAGATTTATGGTGAAAATAGGGTTGATACAGGACTATATTGAGGCAAAAGCGCGTTCCTGTATCTTGAGCCGTTTAGGAGATACCGAAGGTTACATTTTTAAATTTTAAGTTAATTTTAATTGAAATTTGAATTTACATGTTCATATCTCCGCTTCTACTGGGAATTGAGAGTCGAGATTTATGGTGAGAATAGGGTTGATACAGGATTATATTGAGGCAAAAGCGCGTTCCTGTATCTTGAGCAGTTTAGGAGATACCGAAGGTTACATTTTTAAATTTTAAGTTAATTTTAATTGAAATTTGAATTTACATGTTCATATCTCCGCTTCTACTGGGAATTGAGAGTCGAGATTTATGGTGAGAATAGGGTTGATACAGGACTATATTGAGGCAAAAGCGCGTTCCTGTATCTTGAGCCGTTTAGGAGATACCGAAGGTTACATTTTTAAATTGTAAGTTAATTTTAATTGAAATTTGAATTTAAATGTTCATATCTCCGCTTCTACTGGGAATTGAGAGTCGAGATTTATGGTGAGAATAGGGTTGATACAGGACTATATTGAGGCAAAAGCGTGTTCCTGTATCTTGAGCCGTTTAGGAGATACCGAAGGTTACATTTTTTAATTTTAAGTTAATTTTAATTGAAATTTGAATTTAAATGTGTTTCTGAGATATTTGTGATGTGACATTAAAATGGGACACCCTGTATATAAATTGTTTCACACTGCAGTATTGTGGCGATAATCAGAAATATTACGTGGCGGTCTGTCATGCTGGAATACAGCGGCAATATTCCTGTGATATTGCAATGAGATTTATCATCTCCTAATAATGTTGTAATATTGCCACTGTGTTGCCATACGATAATCACATTGTAACATTGCAATAATATTCCAGTGATATTGTCTGATATATCATTCATCTGCTAAGTCAAAACGCAAATATTTTCGGTATCATAGCTTCAGAATCATAAATTTTATAAGATTTGTAAGATGTTATAAACCATAATTGCTAAAAAGTTTTTATTAAAATCAGTATCTTATCATTATCATTTTTATAATAAAAATACAGATGTAATATTAACGTATATATATAAGACAATTTTCAATAATAGAAATATAAATATAATGATAGCATAAAGAATAATGTTTATAGAAGTTCTCAATAAGAACTTTTCGCAAATCGAAAAAATTTTATGTCATTCAGTAAAGGATTCTGAAACTGAGTACAGCAACCGTCAATAACGTGACTATAAACTTTGAGCTAACAGATATTAAAGAAATCGCTAATAATTCTTTTCGGAAATAATTTTTTTAAAAGTCCTCGGGTAAGCTTTTTACAATTTAACTATTTAGATCTAAACAAAACGGCGTATTTTCATCAGTCTGTCTTTTATGAAAATCATTGATTTCTTAAAAAAAATTGTTATTTTATACCGGAAACTACAAAGATCGCGTTATTAACATTTGTACCTTAAAAATATGTGGGTAGTTTTTTTCTAAATTTTTTTTCAATATGGCGGACTCAACATTGCAGCCGAAATCACGAATTTCATCTTATATCGATTTTTCTAACGTTTTCTCACTTTATAATGCTGATTTATTCAATCTGTCTGATATATCACTCCGCAACATTGTTATAATATTCCTGCGATATTGTAGATTGATATATCACATTGAAGTATTACTGCGATACTCAGAAATATTACGTAGCGGTCTATCATGCTGGAATATAGCGGCAATATTCCTATGATATTGCAATGAGATTTATTATCGCGCAATATTGTTGTAATATTGCCACTATGTTGCCATACGATAGTCACATTGTAACATTGCAGTAATATTCCAGTGATATTGTAATCTGATATATCACTCTGTGATATTGTGATAATATTGCTGGAATATTATATAATAATCTTGTGATATTGTAATATTGCTACAATATTATAATATTGCTTCAATATTGCTGCAATATTGCAGTGCTGTGCTGGGTTTTCAAATTTTCGTAACTTCTAACTTCAAAATGTGCGATCACAACTTGTTGCGATTTGCTCGGACTATTCTTATTTCGAATCTAGATTAACGTCTTATCACGTTTCCTTGAATTAACACGATTCCTTGACGCCATGATCCTTTTAACTGACCGTTTCCGCAAAATTCTCCTTAAAACGCTAGTGATTAAACGCAGTTTATCAGCGTCGTGCAAATGCTCCAACGCTAGCGACTTTGTCAGCCAGAAATTCGCTTTAGGAAAACGAGAAGCTGGCGATAAAAGAAGTCAGCATCAAGCGTCAAAGGTAGCATAAATAGCCTTACAGAATTTAATCTATCTACACCGTGATAGTGGCGTTGGAGCAGTACCCTATTTTACCCAGAGCCATTTATTGAATTGAATTGAATTGAAGGTCCGTAAATAGAGAAACGGAGAATCATCCTCTCATCCACTTCACACAGTTTGGCTTGAAAATGGCGGCGGCCGTGGCTCAGCTGATTAACCACTCACACAACTAAACCATAATACTATACTACACGTATATAGTATATCACGTACCCAATACATTATCTGGCTCCAAAATAGCGGCCGTGAGAGGACCTGACTTCGTTCTGTTTCTATTTACGGACTTTGTTCTAAACTAGTGCAATAAATTGGAGTGAAACAGATATATTTTCTTTCATTCCATTGTGTATCATTTGGGAGTCATTTTATCTTTTCATTTCCTTTTTCTATATTTCATGATTGCAAATTTTGTAAAATCTCTTCCAATCTTCTGTGTCCAAAATTAATTTACGTTATAGAAAAAAAATGTCTTATTTGTTTCTTACAAATATGAACGTACTATTTTGCTCATAAATTTATGAGAAAAACAACTTAAAAATCGAAATAATATTTAAGATTTATAATGTTTTATTCTCTTTTTTGCAATATTCAACTTTTATTATCAATTAACATCAAGATGAGATAACTTGACGATATATAGACATACATACAAATGTAATGAATAATTACATATTGCACCGGATAGATGTAGAATTCTTTTGCTTCCAAGTGTGAGTCTAAACAACAGGTATCACAAAGGGATATTTATTTTCAAAGTAATAAATATTAACATAAGATTGATATATAACAAAAGATTGATCGATTACCCCGTTATTTTGTATCACACGATATATACATACGCGTTGCCGCATCTTATTTTTAAGAAGCTTAACATTAAATATTATCATTAATGATGTTTCAGATATTAAATAGTTTAAAGGTTATTCCCGATACTTTTTAAATATGATCTATAACAAGGTATTCATATTTGTTATAATTAATTATTTAATGGTCGATTTCTCTTTTTAACAACGCCTATATTACGAACTACTTGTCACATTTATATTTGGTAACTGGTTATCCTTTGTTATAAATACCGACCAAGCATCACAAATTTCTTATCAACTAGCTATGTAACAATAAAAACGATGTACATATATCATACCAGAAAGTGCTTATCAGATATATATTAATCATTAAATTATGCTACGAGAAATTTCTTTTGGCATCTCGAGAGAGGTCTGAAATATTTGTAATATCATAACCCTATACAACCGTCATGAATACAAATTTATCATCAGCAAATCTCAAGTTAATTTTCGTAAACAACGAGCGCTCGTCTCTAGAATGTGGAAGATAATAAATATTACACGGCTACGTGATTTTTTTTTTTTTGTAAACGGATGTCTCCTTTTTTTAATCTTTACAATACGCCATTATATCGTACAGCGATTATAGAATTTACTATATATTTCATGCGTACATTGTATACAATCATCAGTAAATACGATAATAGATATGATGAGGTGTTGAAAAGATCTATTTATTGAGTATAAGAAAGTTTACAAAGATAAGCACATCATTTGTAAACTTCGGAGCATTCTCCAAGGCTACTGTCCAAAAATCGAGCGCGTTTATATCTCAATGAATGAACAACATAACATGTAACACTAATAGTTACAATATTGAGGATTGTCGTATCGATTTTATGCCAGTGAACACAGACGGAAATGTAGATTTTGGTATTTGTGTGGTATCGCATATGAACGTCACTAAATCGATCTTATGATATTCTACAAATGTAATTATCGATTAGCTCAATCGGGATATGGGAAAGTCATCCTATGTCGGTCACAGAGCTCATAATCTTTCTACATAGTTCGAAGGGAAGAGACCCGTTTTCCCTTTCAGTCTTCCATGCCACCAGCCACCCTCATCTGGAACGAGAGAACAGTAATTAATTAGCGCGTGGCTTATTGTTATCATATCATCAAGTGGTTTCTTCCTGTGCCGTTGTTGGTCAAAGGAAATTATTAACCGCGAAACAACTCACGTTCTTTGAGCACTTCCACGATGTCGCCTTCCTTGAGCCCTAACTCATCGAGATCCTGCGGCTCGTAATCGTACAAAGCCTTAACCTTTGGTAAACTCGGTGGTATCGGTTTCTTAGGCGGTATCTTCTTATTGGCTATCGCATACGCGGCGTTATCTTCCGTTCTTCTCGCACACGTCGTCGCGTCATTGATTTTCCTAACGTTCCATTCTTGGCTCGTTTGCATCCCTTTGTTGAAGTGACCAGAAACCTTATCGCGTTCGTTACTGAGGGACGGCAGTCTGAACCCTACGGGTTCATGCGCAGGCGGCGGTGGTTCTGTAGGCGGCGGAGGAAATTTCAGCAAACCTGCAAAATGTTACATGATAAGAGCGTTGAAACAAATCCTTCTGAATCTTTATTGAGAACTTTACTGCATATTTTATAAACCATCGCAGAACGCACGCGCCCAGTAGGTGCCCAATTTTAAATGGGACACGCCAACAAACTACACTTTACTGGGAAAAATATTCCACATAAAAGTTTCAGAGTTTCAAGGGAAACGCATGCTACTCATTTAACCCTTGGAGACTTTCGCTTAAGTCGTGTGAAAGTTACCTTTAATTTTTTTAACAGAATTGTACGCTTTTTTAACATGAGTCAACCCGCACACATACAGAAGTTGCAGTAACATTGCAGCAATATCTTTGCAACGTTGCAGCAATGTTGCTGCAACTTCTGTGCTGTATGGGAAATTATCTGCTCATTCTGTGTATAAAAGTACCCAAGTAAAGTCATCGAGAAGCGAATACTTCCCGAGATATTTCAGATTTTATCCTGATGCTTGTCAGTACAATATGTAAAATATCGCAAACTATTCGCTCTTCGACAAGCTCGTCTTGATACTTTTATGTGTAAACTGGCGAGAGAAATTGATCAGTGACATTAATCTTTGCACACCGCTGCGTCAACAAATCTGCAAACTGCAACAGAATTCTATTTACGACTTCTCTGTGTTCTTTCCGCAGCCATTGATTTTGCGTCATTCGATGAAGGTTAGAGCAGAATCATCACACGTCCGCCTTGAAACCTTGAAACCTTCGTCTGAAACACCTCCTCATATTTTTCTTCATTTCCGAGGTATTTATTTGATATTTTACAATTTAAAGGGCAGCTAATTTTATTTGCTAAAAGAAAGCAAAAAGCTGTTTCTTCGAACATCGAATTTGTTGAAGAAGAGAAACCCACCACGTGGTCCAGCATTAGGGTTGACGAACATGCCCATGACAGCATCCGGTCTGTTTTGCAACTTGTTCGGATAATTCGTTTCCTTCCTCATCTCCTTACGAGGCCGTGTACCTTGAAGATTTGGCCGGTTCGACGGAATGCTCGGTTTGCCGTTTGAAGTCGCCTGTGCGGGCGCCATAGTCCTCTCGGCTGCCACCGGACGGAGGAGAGATCTTCCGGCCACCCTCGTGGCCGCGGTTACCTGATTACTCGGAACAGCAGCCGAGTTAAAGTTACACGAGACACCCGTGCCGTCTGCTCGAGAGATCAGCTTCGGTGCCGAACGGACTGGCTTCGAAACCTTACCGTTACGTGGGGAAACGGACGATATTGATCGGTTTGGATTGGGCTCTGAAACATGATCGCGGTGTTACGATGTGTGTCGAAAATGTAATATAATTAAAGAAGCCATTATCCGTCGATGATCACCGGGAGAAACCTACTCGTTGTGCTCGGCAGTCCCGGGCCGATGCTGATGTTGAGAATCTTGCCGCTGGACTTTAAGATCTCCCGATCGCCGTAGTCCAGCTGTGTGAATTTCAGCTGCCTCATTCCGCCGCCACCCCAACCCTCCTTCTTCACTTTAAACTCTAAGCTGGAAACCGAGTTGAAAAGTTCGTTGTTTTATTTTTTAGTTGATTTGTCGTTGTAATTTTTTTCGACTGACAAAATGCGCGGCGCAATAACAACAACAAATATATGGGCAGTTGCTCTCCGCCGTTATCGTTGCAAGTTGCTTTCTTCAGCAACGACTTGGTCACGATGTTATTTTACTTTTTCATTAATAACGGTAACAGTAACTCAATTACACTAGCAAACAAACAACGTTACTTTGCACACATAGAATACATGATTTATACGAAAAAAATATACGGAAGCGAATTGAAAAGAAAAAGTCTTCACAACTTAATGGAAAAGATAACGAAGTTGTAACGATTTGTTACTTTTTAAGCAACGATAACGGATTGCTCTTTTTTTTCGGTAGATAACGAACAATGGTAACACGTTGCGTTCCGAAAATAATCTTCCCAACCCCGAGTGCGTGTATTATATACAGGGTGTACCAGAAGGGTGGGTACCCCCCGGATTAACTCGAAGGGATAATGTTTTTGAAAAAAAATGTTAAGTACAATGGTTTTAGGGTTTGAAAATGGACATTTAGCGGCGAACTTGAACTTGACTTAGGGATCAAATTTAGAGGTCAAATCAAGGTTAACTTTAAAATCGTAAGTGGAAACCCTCTTTTTTTTCATTTATCATATCATCCTTTTCTACCTATTAATTTCTGTCTGAAATATGTTTTAATTCGTCTGATATTTTTTTAGATGTTTAGGGAAAACTTGGTAATTTTTTTTTAATATTTAGCTTATATAATATTATTTAGCTTAACATTTAGCTTTATATCTCAGTGGCTGTTTGTCGAAAGAAAAAATAGTATTAGATTATTTTACTCTATTTGGTCTCAAGAATATGCTGTTACAATGATCCCCTAACTTTTGTTAACTTGATGGCCTTTGGAAATTTCAAAATCATCAGCCTAGGTCAAGTTCACCACTAGATTTCCCATTTCCAAACTCCAAACCTTTTGTTTTCATCATTTTTTGTTAAAACCGTCATCAATCAAAACGTCAATCCAGGATATCCATCTTTCTGGTACACCCTGTATACAAGTATCCGTACTTGTTGCTAAACTTAATATTCAGCGGGTGGCCGGTATCTTCGAGATATTTTTTGTCCAGGACAGATAGGAACTCCGTTTTAAATACAGATTCCAACAAGCTGGCGTAGTCTTCCCTCGTATGGATGATCACAAAATTGTCCTGAAAGGGACCATTATTTTTCAGACATGCATTAACTGTAACGCACGGAATGAATGTACAGCAATCGCGATAATTCATGATAATTACCTGCAACATGCTCAATGACACATGACTGATCTGACTAAACGGCAGTTTCCTCTTGATAACCAGGATAGACTTGCCCTTCTCGGCGCCTTTTTTTACCTGCTCTCTACCGATCAAGTAGAGACACTTTCCGGTGAGTACGAGATCCCTTCGGCACATCTATTGCATAAATCGCTCGTCACGGAAAATTGCAGCGAAATCTGCCGTATAAATCACTCGTCACGAAAATTAATGAAGGCTCTATGAACCGCAAATTTCACTCGTAGCTCCAGATTCGGATAAAATGCGATAAGATTTCAGCGACGAAAGACCTCGGCAGTGAAATAAATCAGAACGAATTTCAATGAGGCTTTCTTACTTTCGAATGCGGGCAACGGTGTGTTTCGGCATTTACCTCGCTCCACGGCGATTAGAATGTTTACCTTAAATCTTCTGTCGTACTTCTTTACGACTTCAGCAAAGAACACCTTCTCCCGTCTCCCGATGAGACTCATCGTCTGCGGCTTGGTCTCCAGTCCTATATAATCGCCCACGAAATTTCTATTCAGACTCGCCCGTCTCCGTTCCTTACGACCGAACAAGAGACCAGCCGCTTCCTGCTTCTGTTGTTCCTGCCTTTTCCGCGCGAAGTACTTCTTGAAGGCCTTCTGAATGACTCGTGCGTACATATTGTACCTCCTGTCACGGGCTTCCTCCAGCATGAAGAGCTACGTCGGAAGATCTCGGATTAATTCGCCGGACAGAGAAACTATCGCGGCGCGTGCGATATCGAGACGAGAGACGAGGAGACCTACGCTTTCGGGCGCCTTGATGAAGATTTTCGTCTTGCCAAGCTGATACTGTGACCTGTCGATATGGACACTTCCCAATATCCATTCCACGCCTTGCTTCTCGTTCCCGGGCCAACGAGGCCACGTTTCTTTCGTGAGAATCGCATATCTGTGTAGAAACTTGGCGAACGGCCTTCTGTAGGCGAAGCCAGCTCTGCGCACTCTGATGTTCTCTTTTAGACCCAGATACTCCACCTGGATTTTCGCGCAGAAATATGCTTGAGCGTTTGCTTTTGAATGTCCAAGGGTGAGATAAGCAGAGACGATAGAGGGAACCGAGAGTCAAGGTGGAGGAGAGTCACGTGTGAGGTCACACGTTTCGCTCATTGTGAGAGAGAAGTAATGGAAAAAGAATTGCACAAAATGTTCCTCGTAAAACGCCCAGAGTAGCCAGAGTGGCCAGTTTTGCGCGGATTTCAATGAACATTAAAATGTTATAAAGCATGGGGATTAAAGAATACATGAAAAATAATGACTGATAAATAATCGATACAGAGCACCATACACCTGAATATTCGACGAAATCCGGACAGGAGTGCCAGTTTCTTCGACACATTCCCGCAATCAAGCCCAGTCGTCGGGCAACAGAAAATCAATCTTTAACCTCAGTATTCGCGCGAACCGAGTTCTTTTCCCGCGCCGTACCTGATGCCTGATCCTCGTGTGATCCCAATCCCGCGGCTTTTTCGTCTCGTTCGGCTTGATGCACCGTATATAATGCGGCGTGCACTTCATCAGCTGACTGACCAGGCGGCTGGCTTGATTTCTAATTTTACTGCCTGCCGTGGTCGGCCTGGACTTGAGGGTTTTCGTTTTAGCGGCATCCTTCTCCTGCGGGTAAAGCTCGCGTACCAGGGAGCTGAGGTGAAATAAGTGCACTCTTTATGTCTCCGAGTATAAGACGATCGTAATATTACTAATTTTAGCGCTTCATCTCTCGGAAGCTCATTAAGGGGGTGCCGAGGTGGATGACGAGCTCGAAAAGCGCAGAGGCGATCATCCAAACGTTATTTTAAATCAACGCTAACACGTCTATCCTACCCTCTTCGTATTTATTGCTTAGTAGATGTATATGCAAAAATATTAATTTTTTCCTTTCCAGCTCTTTAATGTAATTATTTTAAATCGAAAAATTTTCTTTGTGTTTTTGTAAGGTTGGCATTGAACTTTCTGAAACGCCACTCGCCATTTTCGGCACGTATGAACCGCGGAACTTTCGTGTCAAGTAAATCTTCACGCTGACTGACGGCTTTCGAAACATCAACTTTGCGGAGGAGCATCAGCATTTCGTCGGCAAAATTTTCATATATGGCGTTCCCTTCACGTCCTCTTGATAGCCACGCTAATTCCCCCCCCCTCCCCCGATTATATTTCAGTTTTCAAATTTGAAGCTACTGTGGCAGTCAGCGTGTTAACAGGTTTCTCACCTGCGTGAAGAGATGTCTGTCGAGGAAGCTAATCGCAAGGAGACTTTACGTTCTCGTATAAATTAAATAATTAAATATGCCGACTCGTCCACCATTGGTTTGTCAATTTTTATCAAACGCGGGGGATCAGTCCGGCTTTTCCGCCGGGCGTTCGCGAGCGCGACTTTCGCGAGGTATTCACAGCGCGTGGTACCCTTACGTAAATAGACGCGAGTAAACGGTCGCGTTTAAAGTTACGCGACGATTACGTGGAATTAGCGTGGAATTATTTACGTAACGACGCGAACACGGTCTCCGACTGCCGGAAGTTCGGCCGCCGCAAATGTTAAGCCGCGACAACGGAGTAGCGGCGATTTCCTGCTTATACATTCGCGGTCGGTATCGGGAAGTTGGATTTTCTCGGAGAGAAAAGCAGAGATATGTAATACCGCCACCTTCGGTGCCAATCGGCTGGCCGACGTAAAATATTCGTCGTCGCGAGTCGAGAACAAGCGCAGATTAATTAATCATGTTCGCTTTCGAAATAACGCGTCGCATGAATAATTGATAAATTACGACGGCTTACTTTGTGCTGCTCTGCATCAGCTCTATCAGGTCCAAGAAAAGGACGTCGCGGTTCTTGTCGCAGAATCCGTCCACGGAGTAAGACACCACGCCGGCATAATGGAGAATCGCGAAGCCGTCGCTGATGTCTTGGAAGTGAGCGTGTTGTCCCGCTGTTACTGCCAGTTTCTGTGGGAATCGTGTCGTACGACAATACTCGATAACTCTTCATGGATAATCGCATGACGAGTAAAATGGAAAATTCACCGAGAAAAAAAGTATTCTATTTGTAAAGTGATTTTTCCCACAGTCTCATATTCTAAGCGAAGCCATTTACAGGAAAAGGATTCCTCTTTCGGTAATGCGATTAAAGTGAAGCATTCGTCTAAAATTTATCGTAGATATATTATTCCAACTGTTTTTCTCTTATTTCAACAGGATTTCCTCTTGTATCAATTAATTTTCCTCTTATATGAAGAGGAATATGTATGTCGAATGTCGGCTTCTTTTGTTCAGTCATGCTCTATCTCCAGACATGAACGATAAAAATAATTATATGTTCATGGATCAGAATATTTGGAACGCTTTCTAAAAAAAGTATGTGTGTTGCTGTAATATATAACAAAGATAATTTACCCGTATTTGGTCAAATATAGTTTATAATCTACTGCAAGAAGGTGAACAATATATTCCTTCTTTTAACCATGTTTCATACAATTGATTATGATGAACAGCTTTGTAGCTATGAAGAATAACAAAACTGATTGGAAATTTATTTGTTATGGTGATCTTATTTCATTCGTGCCTATTTATCGTAGAACGGGAGAAGTACATATATATATATTACTTTTCGCTATACATTATAATAATTTTTTCAAATTAACTAGTATAACCAGTAAGAATAAAGTACAGTAAGAATAAATAATAATCCTCTTAAAAAAATTAAATAATCTGTGTATAACAGAAAATTTATATTAAAATCAATAAAAAGATTTGCATTATGCCTCGTAACATATAATCCCTCTAACTTTAAGAATAATGTATTTATAATATTTTCCTCTTAATCTTAGAGGAATCCTCTTGAGGCCATATATAAAAATAAAATCCTTTAAAATTTAGATGATTCCGCTGTTCTGAAATTACTTTTTTTTGTTGGATGATTGATTCTTATTCGTTCAGCATTCGCTCGGACGAAGTTTCACTCTGTGCGCGATGATTAAGAACACATTCTATTCATAATAATTGTCCCCTTTTAGGATATTTCTAAAAATATAATTGGAATCTAGTTCGATCCCCTAATATCTACGCAGATTCAAATATCCGAAAATAATTTTCTGGGATCTAATAAAAATCCATTACGACTTCCCTAAAAAACGATAGGTTCCAAATAGAAAATTTACGAAGATTCAGATTAGAAACGTGATGTCTCAGAAATGCGGTTCCAAATCAAGAAAGAAATACGGAGATTCCAAACAGAGTTTCTCTGCCGAACATTTCTCCAAAGTTTCCTTCTTTCGACTTTTGTTTTATGTTTGTATCGAATAACGGCAAAGTCTAAAAATATTCAAAGTTTTTTAAGTAATTTGTCGAATCTTTTTCTGAAATCAATGATAAAAATGTCATAAGTGCAGCATATAATATATGTTATATTTTTCCTCTAAATAAAGAATTTAACGTTTTCGCAAACAAGCAAAAATTTCAGTTTAAAAAAGAATTCAAAAGTTCCGGTCGGAATCTGTGTCCCCTGTTTAGGAGAAGCCTGAGAAATTTTTTTATGTAGGCACCTGTGATAATTAAGAACGACACTCGTGATAATTAAAATTACGCTAACTACCTCGTTATCATCGTTAACATCTTAATCTACCGTTACTTATAATCACCATAGCAAACATATAATGAGACAACTTTTGGACTTGAAATTCTTTGAGTCACCTTCTCAGGAAAGTAGAACGAGATTACTGGATAAGACTCGCTCGGTCCCCAAATTTCTACGCTAAATTAACCCGACAATTTAAATGTTAAGGTCACCTTCTTCAAGTCGGTGTCGGCGCCGGTGCTTCCGCCGTGCAACGTCGCGCATACATCGTCAAGCACCAGGAACAGACCGGGTGGCCTCTTATCCTCAAGAAGCTCCACCACGATGGCGTTATTGAAGAACTCCACCGGCGTCCATCTAATGTTTTCGGAAACGTATTCCTCCTGAAACCGAAATAAGATAGATCAGTCGCGTCACACGAAGCCGAGTACGTTCAGCGCGTGCATAACTTTGCAGTCGATTCATCTGCCGATAAAGCAACGCGATAACTCGTGATCGTCCACCTCCGCAAATTAATACAAGAGAAAATTAAATATTAATATTAATTAATTATTTGTCAATGTAAGCGAATTGGGGTTAACAGCGTCAACTTAATCCTTAAGAGCTACCATCCAAATATCAGCCTGTAACTAACTTTTCCCCTTATTGTTTGTAGCAAAGTATATGCGAGAATCGATCTGTCGATTTTATCATAATGTTGTCACTACTGATAGTGTGAAAAGATATTTATAAAATTAAATCAATATTTATATTTAATATGTATAAAATTAATATTTATTATATATATTTATTTATTTAATATTTATTTAATATTTATATAATTAATATTTATTTAATATTTATATAATTAATATTTATAAATTAGTATTTCTACCAGAGCATGTGGTTACGTTTTTTTAATAAGATCAAAAATTCGCATGGGGTGAAATTTCACCCATGGTAACCTTTAAGGATTAAGAGAGACTCGTGCAATCGCTCGAGATAAACTCACTATTAAACTGAATTGTAGTTGTTTTATCAATTTTTCTTGTCTTTAAGCATGCACTTGCGAACTACTCTATTATTATTACTGATTTCGTTCTATTATAATTATTCTCTTCGTCGTTTTCATCATCTGTTCTCGCTTTCTCTATGATCTTCTTCATGAGTGTAAACAAACATAATAAACAATGCTCTCGTTTCTTCTACTTTCCCATCGTATTTTATCACAAATGTTCTCTGCATTCTTTTCCTTTTCTAACGCGCTCTGTCCACCTGGCTATTCGTGTTACATCATTTTCGCATCTCGTCGATAAGAATCCAAACTTACGGGCGAAACGTTTATTCCTCTTATATCGGTTCTTTATGTCGGCCGATCAAGATATTAAGTATGGTATTTAAATATGATATTATAATTTACGCATAAATTACACTTCGCTTTCGGCATCGGGCCTTGAGTTTCTCTTCGGATCGGATGTCGCAAGAACGTTCCCATTCCGTCTTATCGTCCCTTCGTTATGCTCGCATCAGACAATTTAAGCGACCACGATCTAACTCTCGTTCGTGGCAGATACGCGCGGCTTGCCAAGGTTCGCGCTTACGACAAGCGCGTTACGTCGAAAATGCGGGATTAATTACGAGCGCGCCGCCAGCAACCGCGCGCCGTGCCGTGCAGATCGTGCACATACAAGCGATTTATATCGCCGCTTACTCGAGGCGATGGAAAGGAAAGGCGTAGTAATAACGCGATTGCCGGGTGCTTTTAAAATCGCTTTCCATTTCAGCTCACCGAAAGTGCCGGCTCGCGGTACGAGCAGCCAGCACGAAAACCGGTCGCCGCTCGCTATTTCAGCCCTTTCCACCGTCTCCCGCTCGGCTAACGTTTCGCAACGTTTATTATCCACGGCGCCCCGCATAATTATCGCGAAACTTGGACAAAACGCACGACGGACGACCGCGCGCGCGAGCGTTCTCCATCGCGCTGTGAATTCCGTGACGGTCACAGGTGGCCGGCACCGTCATGACTTATTAAGTTGCCGGTAAAGTATAATTAATTGCATCTAAGGAATCGGTTGCACGACTGCCAGTGGAAAGTCAATCGAACGATGCAGGACGTGCAAACGTGGTCTCTCTCTCTCTCTCTCTCTCTCTCTCTCTCTCTCTCTCTCTCTCTCTCTCTCTCTCTCTCTCGAGTTATGCTTATTCACCGTTATATATTATCTTTGGTAATTCAGCAATCGAATGTCCCGCGGAGAGCGCGTCGCGACTTGTTACGTCACGTCTAAAAAGCGCGATTAAATATTGCCGACACGGCCAAGGAAAAATGAACGAAACAATGCGAATGATGATGTTTAATCATGAATTTTGCATCGGTCAAGTTTTGTATAATCGGCGAAAATCAACGCGGTGGTCGGAACCAGGCGTTTTGAATGTCGTTGCGATGATCAGCGACGACAAGTTTTTTTTTTTCTTCTCAGAAACTGATTTACTTACTTAAACAAGATAATGAACGAATACCTTAATCAAAATATTATCCTTCGTTTCGTACAACTTTTTACCCATCCTTCTGACAACAGATGGATTCCGCGACGATAAAAAGATTCTTCTCTGGAGTTGATCCAATTTTCGACGAATTTTCGCACTTGTTCAAAGTTATGAAAGTGTAGTCCTCTAGAGCATGTTGCATCGACCGGAACAAATGATAATCGAATGTAGCAATATCCAGGGTTGGAAAGTAACGCGTTACTTGTAACGTCGTTACTGATATCGTTACTTTTTTGAGTAACGATTAGGTAACGCCGTTACTTTTTGGTATCAATAACGAAAAAGTAACGGCGATACATTTTTTTTGTAACAAGTAACAAAACGTCCGTTACTTTAATCGTTACTTTTTAATTTTTATAAAATTAAACTTAATTGTATTTAATTTCTATGCATTTTTTGTTTTATGCTGAATTTAATGAGAATCAATAAAGATCGACTCACATATTGTCATCCATTGGCCGTAGCTATACAGAAAGGTTTAAAAAAAAGGTAAGTTGGTGTAATTTGGTTAATACATATGTTCATCAAACAACATTCATCTGATCAAAAAGAAAAATCAATATGTTCATATTTAATTTTATTGATTTAATTTTAGGTTTTGTACTACACTCGAAAAAGAAGAATTGATAATTGCCAGCTGTTTGCATCCTAAATTGAGTTGGTTAGCTGAAGATAAGTGAAAACTTGCGTAAACGTATTTAGAAGATTTATAAGGAATTCCTTCAATTAAAAATTTTTTATTGTCTGATAAGCACAATAATAACGATGACTTTTTAAATTTTAAATAGCAAACATCAAATGAGAAATCTGCCTATGATGAATGGCAAAGATTTTTAAAGTCAACAGGCACTAATGTCCAAATATTAAATTCATATCCACTAATTAAGAAACTTTTCATTAAGTACAATACTTAATAACATAAAATAATAAAAATATTTAAATATATATATATATATATTTCTAATCGTCTTATGTCCGATTTACATCTTGTCTTAGCATCTTTCTTATAATCCTGGATTTACAACAAAAAAAAGTAACGGAAAGTAACGAAATAAAATATCGTTCAAGTAACGGTAACGCGTTATTTTTTAAGATCAGTAACGAGTAACGGTAACGAGTTACTTTTTACCGAAAGTAACGGTAACGGTAACGAGTTACTTTTAAAAAGTAACTTTCCCAACCCTGGCAATATCTGAAGAATACGCACAGTGCGATAAGACTTACTATTTCAGCTCTAATAGTGTTTGCTTCACTGATGATGTAACATGAAGTCGAGCGTTGTCGTGAAGAAGGATCGTTTACTCGCAATCGATGGTCGTTTTTGCACGCTTCAAATTGTATTGGATCAATCGGAAAGTTCTGTCCGTTCTTTTGCGAAACATATGGCTTTATTTAAGAAACAAAACATTGTCCATCGTTAGCGATGACTTTCTCCCATCTTTCGGTCAGCAAGCGAATTCCGCGGCGAAAGAATGACTCATCTTTGGAGGCTATCAGAGTCAGAGATCCATTTTTCGACGTCTTCATAAGAATTGAAGCATTCGTGAGCAAGTGTGTGTGCCATCGACCGAAACAAGTGGTAGTCGGAAGGGACACAGTCTGCTGAATAAGCCGTATGGGGTAACACTTCCCAGCGAAGTGCTTCTAACGTTTCCTTGACAGATTTGGTGTGACGTGAGGCCGAGCGTTGTCATGAAGCAAGATCACTTTATGCTGCCTGGTTTCATATTCTAGTCGTTTTTCGTGCAATGCTCAGCTCAAACGGATCATTTGTTCTCTGTAGAGATCTCCTGTGACTGTTTGACCACAGCTTTTCAACAGCTCATGGTACAGCACACCCTTCTGATCCCACCAAATACAGAGCATTGCCTTCTTTCCGTGGATATTCCGTTTTGGCGTCGATGTTGAGGGTTGGCCGGGATCGCAAATAATTTTTCAACGTTTGGGGTTGTCAGAATAAATCCATTTTTCATCCGCAGTGATGATACGATGTAAAAACCGCTTTCTTTGTTGCCTAGCAAGCAGAATTTCGCAGGTGGTTTCTCGCCTTTCAATGTCTCTTGGCTTCAGTTCATATGGGACCCATTTTCCTTCCTTGTACTAGATATGTAAATATGAAACCGGAACTTTTGTATAGAAAATACACGTTTATTGTATGAAAATGATAAAAAATATTTTATTCGAAGTATTGCCCATCGCTAGCTATACATTTTTCCCACCTGTCTGACAATTTGTGGATGCCACGCCAAAAAAACTGTTGCTCTTTTCAGGCAAACCAGTCATCGAGCCATTTTCGTACATTTTCGTAAGAAGTGAAACGCTGCTCAGCAAGTGCGTGTCCCATCGATGCAAATAAGTAGTAATCGGACGGAGCCAAGTCTGGTGAGTAAGCCGCATGCGAAAGTATTTCCCAACTAAGCGCCTCAATCGTTTCCTTGACCAGTTTTGCTGTGTGTGATGGTGCATTATCATGAAGCAAAATCACTTTGTGTTGCCTTTTTTGATATTCTGGTCGTTTTTCACGCAAAGCTTGATTCAAATCGATCATTTGTTGTCGGTAGCGTTCGGTATTAACGGTTTCGCCAGGTTTTAGCAGCTCATAATAGATCATACCCTTCTGATCCCACCAAACACAGAGCATTGTCTTCCGTCCATAGCGATTTGGCCTTGCAGTCGATGTCGATGGTTCGCCTGGAGTTACCCATGATCTTTTACGCTTAGGATTCTCAAAATATATCCACTTTCCGTCGCCAGTCACAATTCGATGGAGAAATGACTTTCTTTTGTACCTGGTGAACAGCATTTCGCAAGTGGTTTTTCGGTTTTCCTGCTGTCTTTCATTCAGTTCATGTGGAACCCA